GGCTTAGGCTTAGGCTTAGGCTTAGGCTTAGGCTTAGGCTTAGGCTTAGGCTTAGGCTTAGGCTTAGGCTAGTTTAGTTTAGTTTAGTTTAGTTTAGTTTAGTTTAGTTTAGTTTAGTTTAGTTTAGTTTAGTTTAGTGGCCACCCAACTCCCATATGACTCTGGGCACCTTACCACTAGGAACCAAAAATATGTAAAAACACATAAAAGGTTCAGCAGATCAGAAGAGCAAAGTAATCAAAGCAAAACAAGGCAAGCAACCCCCCCCAACAAAAAAAGAAAAAGAAAAAAAAGAAAAGGGCCTTGCAGTTTCCAAGATTCTGTATTTACTCCCAGACCAGCATTTAAAATACCTTACCGAAATGTGTACAGTTCCTGCTTCCTTGGTTTTGATAGGCTTGATAGGAGGGGACCTTCACCAGGCATTCCCTGTTCCCCCAGACGAGGCAGGCAGAACTTCCCTGGGATAGATGGTGTCTAAGAGAACGAGGCCCTGAGCCATCTAGAGCTTTGCAAGTGAGAGGCAGCACCTTGAACCTGACCTTGGAAGCAGACCCATAGTCAGTGCAACTCTTGTAGCAGTGGGATTCTGTGGCAATACCACAGTTGCTGTGTTTTGCCCCAGCTGAAGTTTCAGAGGGTCTCCAGGGGTAGCTCCGTGTGCCTGGTGCCATACAGAGGATATAGAATGTGCATCTTCAAAACCAGGGTGTTCTTTTCACAACAGATCAACATGCTGCTACAATTTAAGAATGGTGCTGATATAGAGGACTGCCCGGTACCTGAAGAGATCCGAGATGAACTGCTGGAATTTCATACCGACCTGCTAGCCCATTGTGGTAAGACGCACTTTGCTAAGAAATGCCCTGGAAGCCACGGGCAGTACCACTTCATACTGAAGGGAAATAGGGAATTGCCCCTTCAAAAAAGTGTGTCCCTGTCATAACCATGATACAGAATCAGTGGTACATATACCTCTCTATTGTAGTTTTTATCTTAGTTTGCATAATGATCTGATTAATCCTATTTTAGCATCTTTTCCTGGGCATTCAGATCTATTTTATGTTCAATACC